AGATTTTACTTTGAGCTGGCGAATAACATTGATTGATCGATTGGTAAATTCAATAGAAAAAGTTATAAAATAAAACAATCAAGTTCAGCTGTGTAGTTTCAAATTATTTTGTTTCTGTACTGAAAGCAAGAAACGTTTTCCTAAGAGGTGATAATTAGCTCACATGCTATTCAAGACGAATCCATTTAGTCATACCAGATACCTTAAAGGGATCGTAGAGAAGTTTTCAAATTGTTTTTATGTTCATTGGGGACACTAATAGCACCAATTTGCACCGTTCCAATTCCATTCCAATCCAACGTCTCTGGTTCCTGCAATTCCATTAAAACTAGATGTTTGATGACGTCACTGTTCGCGAAGGGCCTTATACAAGTATATTTTACGATTAGCGAAACACTTATTTTTTGAGGAATTGAAGGAACTACAGACGTTTGACAGAAAATTGGAATGGTGAAAATTGGTGCTACTAGTACACATAAAAAAGTTAGAAAACCTCTTCACCAACCCTTAAAGAGATACACATTATCTACATCTTGGAAGATGATTGTGCATAGAGAATTCTTTGCGAATCTTTAAAATCGAAAGATACTTACTTAGCAAGTCAATATAAAAAGCCTACCGCAAACATCGATAATATAAAGATTTAAATGTTATTGAGATGTATTGAGAAGTTTTCTCGAGGGGGATTATTTCCTTCAATAACTTGATACCCCTTTATCTTTTTCTTCCGCTCTAATAACTAATACAGGATTTATCTAAGAGGATTAAAAAGTTTAGATTCCGATACTATCTTAACAAATCAATACACCATGTTAGAAAATAGGTGGCTAAGATACTAAGATAGATACAAGAAAAGGCGGACAAACACTTATTTATACAGTTGCGAAGCCAAGATGGGATATAAGAAGGGTTGTCACCAACTACCTAGTTTGCGATATCAGCATCTGCGGATGAACTTGTCACTTACCAACTAACCAACCAAAGATGACGTTAGACGTTCCAAAATTGGAACAAGGACTCATGTGACTTCTGAGGATTCTTTATCTTCATTTGCTAAGTCACAATTGAGAAATTTCAAAAAGGAAAGGAATATAGAATTAAATAGATTTAATGGGCATTGGATGAGCTACATTTTTCAAACGTTCTTCGCCATCCACTACTGGATGCAAGGATTAAAATCAGGAAGTGACGTTAGTCAATCGAATATATCTTTCCACTTTCTGTCGAAATGAAGGTAAACCGGATTAAATTGGGCTGGTAAAATGAATATTAAAACGACTATATCACTTTAAGTCGATGTACCTAGTACAGTTCGTGGAAAAGTTCATTTGTAGTTACTATAATATTGGCAATTACACCGGTTTACCTTTTAAATATAGTACTACTGATAAACATTATTTAAACTGCATGTTAACGCGCCAATAGCATTAAGGAAGTCTTCACTCTTTAGCATTTCGAGAAAAATTCGTAGTTGAAAATGCCAATATGTAACGAACCTAGTTCCCAGTCACGTATTTAAGATTTGTTCAGGATTAAAATATCATGTTAAATGTAAATGACATTGGTTCAAGTTGTATTTTAAACCAGGTTTTAGTATCAAAGAATTATTCAAATAAGATCAAAGAAAATGAACAGCTATGATTGAAATTCAATGGAGAACTGGAAATTAAAGATAGCTTATTCAAAGCTAAAATATTTTTTTTTCTTAAAGCGAAATAAAAAAGCTTCAACAATTTAATGTAAATTCGAGTAAAACACCATTTTTACTGCAATTTGAAATTGGAATATTCTTACATTCATCAATTAATTCAATATTTTGATTTAAAGCAACCACTGTGATTTTTTGAAGAGATGTCAAAACTTCCTGTAAATGACAAGTACAACCTATGACGTTTAAGAGAATAATGATTTAGAGAAGAAATTGGGGAAGGTTCCAAGTTTTGCAATAAAATTTGCTCGAAAAACGGTCATATACAATATAAATACCCTAAATCTCAGATTAAGCTGTATATCTTTCCTTACAAGAAAATCCTAACCTTTAAGCTAATTATTATTTTTTACTGATTTCCAGAATAGTGTTCATAAGCCACGCAAACGTTTATGATTCTTGAGATTTTCACAGCAACAAAGCATGCAACATCATGGGATATAAGCAAATACTTTCGTCGAGTGATCACCTGACAATTTTAACCTTTTAACAAACGGATGTGTGCTCTTTCATAATGACACGACGATGGGGAATTGATTTACAATTTTGTTGGAAATTATCCAGCCAAATAATTGTAAAAACAAAAATTCAATTAAATTGAACAAGAGTCAACAGACTCGGTCTGCCAATTTATTTTGAATACAATTTTACCCCATTAAAACCAAATTTTTGAGGACTGGTCTACAACATTTGTAGCTATAGTAAATATCTTTTATTTGGTATTCACTTTTTGTATTTCGCATAAAATTTGTGATTATTTAATTAGTCTATCTCGATTTCAGTGTTTTGTTCCACTGTTTTTTCTTAGTGCTGTCGGTTTTTCACATGACATTGATCTTAAAAGGTTTAAAAATAAAAATCGCCCACTGAAGCTCCATCCGGTCTTCACTAATGAACTTGACACTTTTCAGGATATCCCAGTAGACTAATTGGAGGAATTCCAGAGGAAGAACTGAGGTTGGAAAATATGAGATGTCTACTGATTGTCTGGTCAAGGAACGATCTTTCTTTAACAAACTTAATATGGCATTTTCAGAAATAGAATTACAATAAAATGGTTTACTTAAAAGAACTTTAACTGTTTGTCTTCCCTAATTGTACACTCCGTGGCTTTGGGTGTATTTTTTGTCTACCAGGTTCAGAAAAGTAGGACACAAAACTCCTTTTCAATTCCTTTTGGTGGGCGGTCAATATCGGGTGATATTGAAAAAGTCGATGCTACCTATAAACGATTCCAGTCAGCTGTCAAGAAAATAAGCTTCGAATCTTTAAAAACCGAAATAGTAAACAGTCATTCTTTTGAAATAGGAATCCAACTTCCTTTCACTTCATTGTTCATTTCGATACATCATTTCAAAAAAGTCTGAAACTGCCAAATAAAGGTATGTAACTACTTTTATCATTGTCATAAGGAAGTATTTGTGTTCTGTAGCAATGACTTCAAAGGCATAGTTAGATTGAATTCCAGAGGGGCACCAATCGTGAAAGCAGCAGCTTGGCATTTTCATACTTATCGACAACAGACCGACAATTAAATAAAATATGGGTCATTTATTGTAGTTGTCTCCCTTTATCCGTATCTTTGATGACCATTGTACTTCTCCAAGCTCAGTAAAAACAATTGACAGAAGTTTGATTGCTTTGAAATTTAAAACTGAACTGAATGGCCAGAACTGGACAGATAGTCATGATTGTGACATGGGTTCATCTGGATAGATCTGATTGGGACCAAAACAGGCCAATTATTTCATAGGCTTCCAAAGTTTATATTTTCTGAAATTAGTGACTGAAGAGATCTTGTCGATCTATAATTTGCAGGAACATTTGAAGAATCCCGTACGAATCGGCTTAGAGTGCCTCAAACCAAGATTCAATTTCACTAGTAATCTATCACACCATATTTTAGTTTTGGCTAGTCAAATTATATTTTGATTAGCATTTCCTAAAACTTTGATATCAATTTAGAATGTTCTGATAGTAAATCCTTCAAATATACAATTTGATTTGATTTCGAGATCGTCGTGATAAATTTTGGCTCATCAAAGGAAATACTGGATCGTAAGAGGGGTCATTTTGAATCGCAAACTGCAATACCGCTTTAATTGAACCCTGCTTCAAAGGCCTTTTATTTTAAAGTGATACTACGTCTTAGAATGAACATACAATTTAATTCTCAAGAATGGTCAATATGAGTATATGTTCATCAGTGAATATACTTAGAAAATTTAATCTAGAAAATTGGAAAATTCAGAAAAGGAAGTAACTATTGAAAAACGCTTAATCATAATATTAAGCGTTTTTCAATAGTTAATTGCATTTTTTTAAGTTTTTTGAATTTATCGGATTATATAAGGATCCTGTTATGTTATTTATGACACCAGGTATATCTACTGATGAATACGTGCTCTTATTGGCCAAGTTTAAATTGTTTAAATTTTATGTTTATTCTAAGACGTAGTATTCCTTTAAACTGGCCAGGGATTTAAAAAAGACTTAATTTACGAAAAATGGGTCAAAATAAGATCAAACAAAACAATGTAACAAAGTTTATTATATAAATTCAACTACAATCAACAATCTTAAACTATACTAAGATTTAAATATGAGGATTAATACGGAATGAATTATATATCACATATTGAAGATAAAAGTATAACAGTTCAAGCGTTTCTAATGTAGGGTCTATATAAAATGAATAAAACGTATGGTCAAAGGAAAGCAAATATTAAAAGTTCGAAAACAATAATGGTCTCAAACCAATGGCCATCATCATTTGCCACTAAGGTAACTGAAAGTGGCCCTATAGTACAGTTACTTTCAAATCAAAAAGATTTACGTCATTGATGGCGATGTTGAACAATTGACTAGAATCCATTTTGGACACAGAAATACTGAACGTCTAATCATTGGCAATACCAGTTGAAAGTATGAAATTTCAGCTTTCCGCAACAGTTTTCAATAAAACTATCCTGGTAAGTGTTATTTATGGCATAGAAATATTTAAGTCACACAATTCAAATTAACAATTACTGACAATGGGATGAGGGAAAATAATGCAAGGGAAGTCAACGTAAATTAATGGTCATCTAAAATTTCACTTAAGCATGATGGATTAAATTATCTAAACAATGCACAATCGTTGATAAAACTAAAAGGGTCTAATTAAGTAATTTGCAAATTTGTGATGAAAAAGTGTCAAACACGACAAATTGATCCAAGATGAACATTTCACAACTCATTTAGTATAAAAATGAAGGCTGATACGATACTAGTAGGATATTCTTATCTACTTTTTATCAGGGAAAAGAAGGTGCCCCGAAAAAGTGGAATACATGTAACCATGAATGTATGGAGCACGACTCAACAAGACCAACCAAACTTGATCGCCTCCCTTCAATTTCAGAATAGCTGTATTTGATGCAGATGCCCAGTAAGGGATACTCTCGGCCCATACAGTCGCAATCATTTCACCATTTCTCACCAGATTTACTGCAGCCTGAAAGTAGAATGCATGATGTGTAGTTATCTCCCTTCAAAAGCTTTGTTTGACAACACTGTCATTTATTGGTCAAACCGCGGAGCCAGTAATGATCTCGAACAGAAATTTCTTGTTCGGGTGAAACCTATGCTTTTGGTAGACATTTCGAGAGCGTGAATATATAGTTTATTCTGGTTAGTGGTATGGAAAATGAATATTAAGTCTATTCAATTCAGTAATTGTTTACTACACCGACAGCGAATTCGTGACTCTTTGCACATCTTTATTTATTCCCCTGTATATACCTTGTTAATTTAAAGACAACATTCGTTATTCATCTTTCGGTGAAAAGTAGATCGTATATCCTCAGTTCATTATAGTAGGAAATTTAAGATCGCCACCTCAAGGCATTTGCCGACCTAAAGGTTACCAAAGGCTGTTCTAGCTATCGCAGCTTACCCGTTGACGGCCTTGAGCAGCTACGACCACATTGAATTGGTAAGTTCCATTATGGGTAGCAGTAAATCGTCCAGTGTCAGGATTGAAGACATTTCCAACATTGGTTATCACCTTATCAAAGAGCAGGTCGGAATTCTCTTTCACTGGACCTTGGTTTTCTTGTAGTCCAACAAAGAAGGCAACTCTGATTATTGGTGGAGTAGAGCGACCTGAAATAAGGAATATATTATTGCCTATAAGACACAGCAAAAGGGCCTTAAATGTGAACAGGTTGAAGGCCCCAGTTAAATGATCATTACAATAAGCTGATATGCGGATGAAAGTAACCGAATATTCTATATCCTAGTTCACCTTTGAAACAATCACATTTACTTATAATGGTGGAATTAAAAAAAATACAATTCAGACAGGTCTTTAAAAAATTATATGCTAATATTGATAATGCTAGTTGACAGAATATCTAAAACTTTTTGTTGCAAACATAAAAATAAACAACGTCGGAAGCTTGTTCGATTGCAGTCTGCTGAGGAATTAAGAGATGAGAACAATTTTTCATCTAAATTAATACTTCAGCCTAGTGTCCACTTTCTTTGACTAATACCAAGTAAAAGCCGTACGATGATCGGACCATTGACAATAGGCAAATCATAAACCATTAAGTGTTTTCAGAAGCGTGACTGTTGAATATATCCGGAATAAGAAGTGAAACAAATCGTACCCTCACGTCCTGGAATTCCAGGAACACCGGCTTCTCCTGGTTCACCTTTCTGACCATTCTTTCCTTGAGGACCTTTCGCACCACGAATAGGTAGAGTGATAGGTATATTCTTCTCTCCTCGACAAGCTACCTCTAACTCACAAACCGGTTGTTCTTCATCTCTCTGAGCCTGTTCCTTATCCTTGTTTCTGTTTTTACGTGGATAACGTCTCCCTTCCACCATGGTCATCACCACCAACATCAACATACATATATCACTTTTGATCATCATCCTGGAAAGAGACATAAAGTCTTATTTAGCATATCATTTGACTGCTTAAGAATCCCAATCGTGCAACCTAAAGGTTTCATGCAAGTACAATTTGTTAAGGTGTAGATGATTCTGCATTCCGAAAGTATATCCATTATTGTAAGAACAAGTGACAAAGTTAAGGCTACATCTTTGATCTTATTCGCTAATTGGTCATAACTTAGTAGTATGATGGGTTATGGGTGTTAATGTGACAGTGTGGGTCAATGATAGGGTATATAATTAGATAATATAGATTTATGTCATATTTGTAAATCAAAATATAAGAATTTTAGAGAATTGTTTATTTTCCCAAAAAAGTAAAAACTTGAATGTTTGTTTATTGGAAGTTATAAGCGAATAAAGTTCATTAAAATGATTACTTCCTCCTGGTTTTATATAAATATCATTAGATACCAGTTGACAGAATTAGCTCAAAAATGACCCAAATTTCGTTCAAGATGGATAAAATAACAAACACCATAGATTCGACGAAAACAAAATGATTTTATAGAGGACATCAGAATCAAGTTCCAATCTTGTCCATAACAAGAAACTAATAATAGCAAATGAAAATGACCCTTTTAATGAACCCACATCAAAGAAAACAATATCTTCTAGCTACTAAATAAACAATCAAAATAGAGTTACGCCTCCAATACATGTAACGAAGCAAATAAACCACAAAAATAACTGATATTGAATGTCATTGAAATACTGGTAAAGTCTATAGACGATTTTCAATAATATTTTTCTACCAATGATCAATCCGTGTAATAGATGATCTTCTGAAAAGGCACACAGCAAGAATTGCCCCTAAGCTAAATCGAAGAAACTTACTGAGAAATTTCAGATAACTTATTTCACAGTAATGCTTTTCCGTTTTGATAAATATGTTCTTCTCATAAAATGAATTGTTAAGACCCTCACATGGACAACATTGATGCCAAAACTCTGATGTACGATGTATAATGGAGTAAGCATAATATATTTGCGGTTCCTTTAGCCTGTACATAAAACTGAACCGCTCAGTTCCAGTCAAGTAAGAAATTGTACAGTGGATGTTAACATTTTATCACTAGCAAGTACTGATCAGTGATGGTAGGAACTGTTAACCTTGGTCAGATCTGCCATTCTACGACTGGCCACGACACCTCGACATTGGAAATTCCAACAACGAACAGTGTCCCTTCATGCACAACATTGAATGTTGAACACCATGAATATTGCTAACATTAAGACTTAAAACCGTGTAAGTATAAAACATCGATAGGTGGACATGTACGTTCTAGCTCTGAGTAGACAGAAATCTAAGAATGTATTTGGTGTAGAACTGAAAAATAGAATTCTTACAAAGTATATGGCAAACGATAACGTTCAGGAACTAGGAAAACCTAACAAATAATGGTACGAAATGATGTCTTTACGAGGAAGCAATCAATGGTCAACTTGGGTCAGATCCGTCATTCTACGACTGGCTATGACACCTCGACATAGAAGATTCCAACAACGTAACGTTAACGACAGTAATTTTGTATTTTGTTTAAAAGCAATTGTAAGAAATCTAACCAGAATGATGGCGACTGTTAACATGAAAGAACGAAAGAATATTAACTAAGTATGGTACTTAATCAAGACTTTTATGACAAAGTTACAATATGTTTAGAGGATTAAATATACTTATTGATCGTTGTTTCCAATTATTGTTATGTCTTCAATAGCCACTCAGAGTAGAATTACTGCTATATTTGGATAATTTTTCTTATCAACGGACCACTGACTGGAGAATGGAGGACAAACATATAGGAGATTCGCCTGCCATCATATGATTCACATTGATATTCTTGAATTCGTCATGTCAGTTTGGCAGCCAATAAAAAAGGTTATAAAAAAATATTTTTTAACCATGAAAATTAGGATGGGGATTCCAGAATTTTCATTTGATTTGGGTGTTGTTGAATACAGTACTGTTTTCATCCTATTTGGATGGTATAGATAAAGGTTTGAATATCTCTGACGATGTCATTTCGTAGAACAAATTTGTGATTACAAATTGTTTGTTGAGATAGAGGCTACAGTCGTCATACGATTTTTGAAGATTGATACTCTTAAGTTCGAACTTGAGCATATCATTGGCATAGAAACCAGTTCATCGATTTATACAGTATTCTTTGATCCAAGCAGGCGGTGCCTGTTCATTGAACTTCGGGATGTATGCTTTAAAGAAATCGCCAAGGATAATGCAAACAGGTGTAACAGGTCTCTAAAGTAGATGATGGGTGTTCCGGATGCCAGGCAATGCAATCGACCCATCACGGTGCATTGTGCCTCACTGCGGACGGGTAAAACCATCAGAGGGTTTAATACAGGGAGTCTCGAAGGCCGAAGGTCATGGAATATTGTATTATGAATTACCCTTTCTGTATTTATGAAGATTCATTTGAAAGAGTTGGAACCAAGTAACCGACCTGTTTATTATTGAATCAAAACTTCACGGAATTTGTATCCCGTGTTACGTTAAGAGTAAGTATTATACAATGGTTCCGCTACAGTAAAACGCAATTAAATCCAGACTATAGTAAATAAAAGAATAAATAAAGAACCATTATCTCAATAAAGTTTTGAATTCAACCGGAACTATCTGCGAGCTTCTATAAACGATAAGGGAGCTAACCGATGTCTTTAATCAAACAAGGGCAAGCAACTCAGTCTGCAAGATCAATAGGCCAAATATCCATTTTATATAATTTCTGATTATTTTTAGAGACTCATCCAAACATTCTGATACTATTAAAGTATGTGAAAACATCAAATTAAAAGGGCGAAAAGCAATAAAGACAACCCTGATAATGATAGAAGTTAGCCGAGGTACATATACGCACCCGGTTATTTACAGCACAGCTTCGTAACCATTTGCGTCAAAGGGGAGGTATTAAATTCCAATCACACCAATCAATTAGGAATAATTGCCCAGATAGAAAGGTAAACTTTAAAGGTATACTACCTCTTAGGATGAACAATAAATTGAAATTTTTAAACTTGGTTGAAATGAGTCTTTGTCCATCAGTTGACTTACCTGGTGTCATAACTTATACAACAGAATCCCTCTATAATCCAATAAATCCAAAAAACTATGCAATAATTCGTTATTCTTATCAATTTTGAAACATGCTTAGATGCGTGTTCAATTTAGTTAAATGGATATATCAGCTTATATAGAGTTTCTATTCTTTAGTCATGGCGCCTGGTAAGTCCAACTGATGAATATATACACTTGTTGAAAAATTTGAGACTATCAATTTTATGTCCATTCTAAGAGGTAGTATCCTTTTAAGCATTTCCTGCATTATTTTCTTCATTTGGAATCTCTAATAAATTCTAATCTAACAATATTTATACCTAGGTCACCTGCTGGTTACGTTTCAGTCTATATTTAGCAGTCAATTACGCGCCATTCTCCCGATCAGAAACTTTTACCATCGACAGTCTCGTAATTTCATTGAGCATATCGCTCTACTTTTAGTTTCGCTTTCCCACAATTCATAGTCGGCATTTCAACACAATTTTGCACGACGCGCTGTGATTGGTTGAAATGCACGTCAACAGTTCGTGACCTTCAGGTATAAATCTATTTAGATTACAAAGGAGACCGACGAGAAATAATAACGAAACGAAATTGTAATTTAATTTTAGTTAGATTGAATAATAAATAACATTTATAATTATATAATAAATAATAACGTCTAAAATTCTGAGCTAAGTAGCTAGTTGTGTTGGAAGAAGAATAGACATTTTCAGATGTCGCAGCTATTTATTCAAACTTGTATATAAATTTGACTGATTGCTTTTAATCAAATTGACAGATGCTGATAATCAATAGTACATACTTTGTTACATAATGTCATTTAAAGTGGGCCGTAAGCATACATTATTCATTATTGAATACCGATAATGTGATATTCTAAGAATAAAGTTGTGTTATGAAAACATACGTTCTTTCTGCAGTTTCTATTTGTTCAGATTTTACCAACTTTACAACAGTGGCGTAAAGGGAGATAGTGGTCTCAATTGGACAATTTCTCAAGAAAAGTCAAAAAGACCGATTTTAAATCCAACCACTTCACTTACTGAGATTGAAGTGCTACGAGTAGTTAAATTTCTGTTTTATACATGTTTTATCATTTATTTGTAACTCGCGTATCTTATGAATTCCTTGTTTTTAAGTGGAACCAAACAGTTATGCTTCAACAGCACCAAGTTTAAAATGCCAGGGTTCGCGATTTTCGGGTCTTGAATGTATGTAAATGTAAGAAGCACAAGAAATGAACAAAAATCGCATAATATACCTTCACAAATACCTGAATATTATTCAAAGAAGCTGCTGTTGGACTGAACAGAGACAAAAGCACATTTACTTTATTTTTAATGAAATAACGAATATTGTGGAAAATATTCATAATTTTCTATAACACAGCAGCTTCATACCAAATCTAAACATTGCAATCATTTTCTGGCGTTTTTGAGAAAGGTCTTGAATAATGTTAAACTTTTTTTTAAGAATGGAGTTTTGATATTCTTTGACCCACATGTCTGTGGCAGTCGTCAAGTCTCCTTTAACTTTAAGAGTTTTAAGGATATGAAAACTTCTCTTAAAATTAACAAATAACTGCAGCAAGAATATTTCACAGCTTATTATAAATCTCAATAGTCTCCAAATTGCCTTCCAAAGACAGCAATCATGTTGAGTTTGAAATGCTAATAGTCACACAGTTTCA